CTAAAGCTGTGTAAGGGGCCCCAAAATTTCTGATGGCTGCACTGCATGTTTATGTTAACAATTGGTGAAAAGACTATACGTTCCCTTTAATGTCAGATGAATTTACTGCAGGTAATGTATAGTATAGTTGACTAGGCTGACAAAAGCCAGATTGTGGGAAAATAGGAAAGATAATAAGTTTCGAGTGGATCTGTGCCTCTGATAATATACTGTGTACATTCCTCTATACCAGTCAGCCAAACACTGTATCATTATTACACCATCATTTGTTGTTTTTCCCGCTTCTAACTTGCAAGAATTTCGCTAGCGCTGCTGCAAAACCTAAATTAATGTCTTTGTATGATAATCCTGATGTTTTCACAGCTAGTGCCTCAGTCTATTCTCCAGCATGCCTGAGACTAATTCAAGCATTATCATTTCCATTAAATCAAGTACCAGACAGTTTGCAGACATGGGAATGTGAAACCAGCCAGTGGAACCGCATTTAATGCTAGCGATATCTTTACAGTCATTTTACTGCAAATTTCCAACTATTACCAGCTCAGTGTGCTGCTGGAAGAAATTGTAATCATTTAACGGAGCGAGCAGAGCAAAATCATCCAAGTCCATAGAATAAACCAATTATGCAAATCTGCTTATGTTATTTGCTTTATCTGTACAGCCTATTTGTCTTCACAGTGATGTGCTTCCGTTGGAGTACACAGTATCAATATTTATTTTTACATATTGTGAAAGCAAAATAATATCCAGGACTTTCTTACTAATACAGCACTCTGGATGTAGAAGCATCAAGTGCAACTTGTAGTAGAGGGTGACACCCATTTGATGCTATGGAGAAAGTTACAATGTTGGTAAAATCAGAAAGTCCACTTTGCCAGGTTTCAGCAGAATTCACACAGTGTCTCTGCATGACACCACATCCACACCACATCCACACCACATCCAGATTACCACCAGACCAGACCAGACTCTTTCCGGACCCAAAATGCATCCCAATGTATCCCTATGCTATTTCTGACCTCTGTTCCCACCAGCGCATTACAGAACAGACCACAAAAATACTGCTTGTCCTATTTTGTCTGGTCTGGAATGCACTGGAACGCTCCAAACGCATGGAACGCACCTGTAAGACCATTTTAAGCTACACATTTTTTTTACAATCGCGGTAAAAATGTAATGCACTATGTTCCAGATTTGGCCTTAATTCAGTGCTGTGCTAGCCTCCTAATTCTCTAATGTATGGGCTAGGCTCCAAAATAAAACAAAAAGCAAGTTCACAGAATCAGACCCCTAACTAGTGCATTTCAGGTGGCTTCACGTTAAAGTTTATGTAAACCATAACAATGAACTCTTATTTCAGGGGTCAACATTTCAAGTCCTGAGCTACTAGCCAGGCCTTAAGAGTTACTCGCCACCAGTTGCCCACCTAACCCCTACCCTGCCCCGGCCTTAACTCACCTAAACACACCCTCTTAAATAATCTTATAAATGACACTGTTAGATGTTTATTTTTGTAACTGTATTTTGCATAAAACATCTAACAACAACTTTAGCAATATTACCATAAAGCTTCCTGCCCCCACATATATAATAATACACTCTACCATGCCCCTACACCTGCTTGTCTTTCTGCAGGGAGGAGGCAAGCAGGCAGATCCCTGCTGATCTGGTGTGATTAGTAAGGTCTGCTGCAGACATTACTAATCACTTTGTTTTCCACCAGAGCTCAGAGAAGAGCTGGGGCTGAAAGCACAGAGAGCCCAGCAGGAGCAGCTGCTCCCACGAGTCAGGTACGCGGTCCGAGACCGCAAGCCTGACTGAATTTCCACTCGCCAAATGCGAGCAGTCGAGTGGAAATTTTGAGCCCTGCTTATTTGCTCCCTTTTGGTCTGTTAAATAAACCATTGAATGTCTTTTGTTATATCTGGTATCTTAATGAGTCTAATAAGCCCTCTAATAAGCCCTGTAAGGTCTTTATTGCTATCACAGAGGGGGCTGAGAAACCCCTCTATGTGATAGCAAAAGAGGTGACAGGTCCTCTTTATGGAGACATCAGGGGTCTCCAAGACCCCTAATGTCACCTAGGACCCCCCTGAAGAAGCTGATGAAGCAGAGTTCTGCTTCATCAGCTTCTCTCCAGCATCTGAAGCTGGAGAGTGACACAAGAATGCGGAAGTGATGTAATATACACCACTTCCGCATTCTGACAGCGGAGAGGGGACCGGAGGGAGGTCGTGAACCGAGCTCCCTCTGATCCCCTGTGACAGAGGCAGTATGCTGGTCCCGGGGTCGGCTTGACAGCGGGTAGGGGCGCACATCACGGGACCCCATACAAGCGATCCGCCGGCTCTATAGCCAGCGGATCGCTTGTATATTAACGGACATTGCTGTCTGTTTTCAAATAACGGGCATTTCCCGCGCGCGCCGCGCCTGGGTGGGCGGAAGTAACAGGACGTGTATACACGCCCAGTTACATCCAAGAAGCTCCTGGCCGGCCGTGTATACACAACGGCCGGCCGCGAGGTAGTTAAACAACCTTATAACACATGTACCTTGATAAATGCATAGCACCATGTTAAACTTCTGCACTCCAGTTGTCCAGTAATAAGCATTGGAAAACTGTCGGCTATTACCAGCTATGCCATGCAACTCATGGAGGGAATTTTAATAAAACTGGAGCAGACAAAATCTGGAGCAGCTCTGCACTGCAACCAATCAGCTTCTCTCTTGCATTTTCAAATCTTAACTGAACAAACTGAAGACAGATGCTGATTGGTTGGTTAGCAACTGCTCCAGTTTAAATAAATTCCCCTCAATGTGTTTTCAGCCTCGCTCATACTATCTACATCCTGTGATTGCAAAGCTTGGCTGGAAACTGCTTGAACGCACTTCATCTGTGTTCTGATGCTGTCAAAGATGTAGATGGCATTAGTGGAT